TAAAAGGATATACTCAATTCACCCATTACCCCTCTTTCCTTCCTTTATATGATACAATACATTATGTACATGTAGTTCATTAAACCCAATACATTATGTCAAGAGTGGATTATGTACATGTATCCATACCTGGTTGTTGGTGTTTTTATTAATGGTTGAATATAGTCCAGTAGCACCAGTAGACAGACCCTGTTGACCCTTATTCTATTAATAATACATTATATGATCCATTTTTAAAAGACTCTCTCATTAATCACTGACCTCTCCCTCTCTCTTCAATACAGAGTATTCCTGTACTCCCTCAGGATTATAGGCAGGAGGGACAGGAGGAGGAGTATCATCGTCTTGATTGAGTGTTGAATAAAGTGGACCAGCTCCTTGTTGTTGTTGTTGTTGTTTATTATTTTTCTATTATACATTATTGTTATTGTATGTGTTGTATTTTGTTTATTATACCTCTCCCTCTCTCTTCAGTTCAGAGTATTCTTGTACTCCATTAGGATTATAGGCTGGTACTGGTGGGGGAGTATCATCATCATCATCACTGGCTCTAAGAACACTGTACTGACCTAGTAAATATTGTATTAATAATAATAATGTATATATAGTTACTGAGTCTATACTTAATACTGATCACTATAAAGTATGTACTTAAGCACATTGCCTATCATGTCCTCTTGTCTATCATGTGCTAGTTCATTGTATCTTACAGTCAAACATATGATACCCTGTGTAGGCTGTTGTCAGCTTATTGTGTGGTACATGTATACACATATGGTTCATGTCATGACAGGTAGAGGAAGTTCTTGCTAATGTACACTAAATGATGACTGGATATAAGTATGTGCTGGGTATATGGTGTATGTGAATTGTTTGAATTATTGTAATAAAGTGATGTTTGTACTAAATGTCATTGTGTAGTGTATCAAACAAAAATTTAAGTAACCTGTAATACAATAGAAAAAACTGCTGATGTATACTACTTGATACACTGAAACTATGAGCTACTAGTTTTGTACTTTATACATGCCTTTTGTTTAAAAGTTGGCATTAAAATCACTTCTACATTTTTACTACATTCCTGATACATCATACATGTCCTTATGTAAGTTTTAGTTGATTTTGATTAAAAATTTTTAAGTTATGGTCATTTAAAATGACCTAAAATACATAGATGTACTACCAGTAGGAGGTGGTGGTGAATAAGAAGATGGTCCATCTCCTCCTTGTAGTGTCCTTACAGTAGAAGCAGCTGCTGAAGTATCATATTCAGTGGTATTAGTAGCATAAGTAGGATCAGTAGGTTGTAACTAATGAATGAAACACAACAGCATAAAATGAATGGGGTCAGTCTACAGTAGTTATATAATGAATGAGG